CTAACATCCAACCTGAATCTCCCCTGACTAAGCTTATGCCCGTTTCCTCTTGTCCTATCACCCATCACTAATGTAAAGAGCCCTTCCCCCACCTCCCCACCATCGCTTCTCAAGTATTTGTAGGCCGTAATCAGGTCTCCCCTCAGCCTCCTTTTCAAACTTTTATTTTACTTCCTCTACTCATGGTTTTCATTTTTTCCCCCAAGTTCTCATAGTCACAGTTCATGTCTTTTTTTCTTGATTTCTTGCACTTTCATTGTTAATCATTTTGTCTTTCTTCTGCAGAACACTTTTGAACGTTCCCCTCTTGCATGTGTGCAGATATATATATATCTGTTGTCATGTTTCACTACCTGAAAATGTTTTTGTGTGGTAGAGAGCTTCCACTAAAATATTTTGTAAAATAATATAAGCAAAATATAGATTTATTTGTTGACAAACATTAAACATAATGTCACTGTGGTTCCATCTTGCTCAATAGCAAAACTCAAGATCAATACTTTGGAGCAGTTACTTTCAGTTAGTTGCTAAGGAGAATGCTCTTGCATTATTGATTGACATTCTTATTAATGTATCTGTATTAGGTCTGCAGGATTATGAAGCAGCTCTCAAGATTGATCCTAAAAATAAAACTGTAGAAAAAGATGCTGAGAAGATTCGACACCTAATTCAAGGAACAACACAAGATTCTTAATTAAAAAAAATCCAGCTTCGAGAGGGATGACCTTTGAGGGCATCAGAAGGAATGTTAGTTCTCTTCACTGTGTTGTCAACTAGATATTTTTCTGTTTCACTCAGAACACCTACGCAATTGGTAAAAGATTGGATATATGAATTACTATTTTTGGAAAATGCATTATTATAACAAATATGATTAGATTTATTTTATATCATTTTGATACAAAGTGGTAATATTTCTTCTTTTTGTGAAATATTGGTGGGCCAGATATTAAAACATGCTTTTGGTACTTGATTTGAAGTTACACATAACTAAATGAAATATTTGTCTGGACATATCTACTGAATCTAGACAATGGGTTTTCCATCAACGTTAATAGCTCCGTATTAGTCAACAGCTGTTAACAACTTCTTTTTCTGTTCTCCACCAAAGCTGAAATAGTTATGTATTACATGGTTATCGTTATATGCTTCCTTCTTTTCTTGTTCATAGTGTCTGGCACATCTGAAAATAAGACAGTGAATTTAGATACTCTAATTCAGGCATCCAATTTGGAAAACCTCCACCTGCAAGCATAGAGGTAGATTTTTTTATTTAATTCAGAACATTCTTTTTAACATTAAGTAACGTACATTGAATATTTTCAGACTATTTTGAAACATTTATTTGGGCTGACCGAACAAGATAATTGGAAAAATTATAAACCTGTAGCATTGTATTGTAGTGTAGTGGTAAATTAATCCTGTGATACATTGTCCTATCAATGAATATGACTGACTTCTTCCATCCTACTACAATTAGTAATCTTACAGTGCAGCCGTAAAGCATATTCTAAATCAAACCCATTGTTATTTATATGAGGACATATATTTTTCTTGAGCTGGCATTTTAATTTATACTCTGACATCAGCCAATATCTCAGGAATACTGGTGTGATTAAAGATCCTCAATAAAGGGGACCATCTTGGTGAGTTATAAGTGTTGTAAAATGGCACTGTGTTCTGAAGTCCTGCACATTTTTATTATTGTGACAACCTGAAACACTGGACTTGAAGGGGTTCTGTTTTGTTAGGCATTCTATCCAAATTGGGACCGTTTCAACTACACTCCTTTCAGGAGCAGTTTTAGCAGGCTTGTGAATTTTCCACATCAGTCTGTTTCCTGAATACCATTTATGACTGATTTCTGACTTTAGGAGAAAATATTTATTATGCAGATATATGTAATTCTGTGTAAATTTTATACTCTTGGAATAGGGAAAAGGTGGCAGGTGTTGCTTCCAGTTGCTTTACTCAGAGCCTTGAGAGGAGTGCTGAGGTGAGCCAGAAGTGTCTGGAGTAGCTGCTGTTCCTTCTTTCCTACAGATACCTACTGCATTGCAATGGTATGGGGTGAAAGTACTTTATTTATAGCAGTTGGAAGGCGGGCAGTGCGGGAGCTTTAGTGCCTCAGTATAACAATGTTGTACTTGCCAAAATACAGCTATTTTCTTTCAGGTAATTACTGAGGGGAAGTGGGTGCTAAGGAGGAGAGACACTGCAAATGGGAAAAAGAACATGCAAAGAAGCAGATGCTGGTTCTAAGTTCCTGATTTTATGCGTTGGTTCCAGAGCCTATTAGAACAGTCTGTATGCATCTATGTGGGCTCTTTGTGTTGTAGTGATTTGTTATAGCTACTCAAGGCTATTTTTGATGTCGACAGGCACCTTTTCCTGCTGCTACGACATAGAGAGAGTGCCCTCTTTAAAGGTTAGTGAAGAAAATGTGTTTGGTGGCATGACCAATATCTGCCTGTTTCATCTGATTATATTGGGAGCAAATGGATGTTAAACTTCTGACTTCAGTACTTGAGCAGACAGCGTGTACACCATATCAAAGTCACACGCACTATGTTGGTATTAGTGTCCTGAGATGTAGGAATGCGAAGACTGGCTCTTAAGTTTTAAAACCAGCAAATACTTTAATGAAAACAAATAAACCTTAAGGTCAATGTTTTTTGCACTTAACACTTTCATCTATGAAACCAGTTTTGAAAGTTTTATAAGTTTAGGTCTGATTGAGTGAAGTGTATCATTGAATGGGCTAAATCCTTTTTGATACATCTTATTCAACCCAGCAAAACCAAAATAAATCAGATATTTCAGTCATTCTGAGAGTAACTGTCAGTAACAGAATAGTTTTCTTAAAGCTAAGTGCCTAGACTAAGTCTATGACAAAAAGATGGAGACGCATTTCTACAGAGTATGCTGTAAATTGGGGTGGTCATATACCCTACTTCTATCAATGGCAGTGTTTAAATAACTGTCTTGAAATGGCCCACAAGTGAGTAAGTGTTTAGAAAAGGATTGATCCACTGGGTGATACGTACGGGGTACCATCTGTGAGACAGGTGGTATAGCACCATATTCACTTGAAGTTGTTTTAAACAGCAAAACCTGAGGCTTTGTCAAAGAACCATTGGTCATGAGTGTTTTGGGGTCCATCATACAGGAAAACACTGGATTGCCAGGATTTACACAGGGAAGCAGATGAGGAGGCTGAGTTTGCTCAGTATTTGGACTCGATGGCAGTTTCTTGGTGGAAGTCATCTTCTTTCCCTGCTAAGGAGATGGATTTTAATTCAGTCTTTCAGACAACAGGGCAAAGAATTTCAAATTTGCTAAATGTTTGTGGTCAGAGCAAATGTTGCTCAAGATGTGTATTGAAATACATACACAGTGGAGAGTGAGGAACTTAACACTGCCGACTTTTGACCTTGTTTAGTAAACTGTGGACAGTGATAAATAGACTCATGTTGATTATGAAGTATTGTAAAAATCGGAACCTGCATCAATTACTGCATTAGTGATAATCTTGAGCATAGAAAATATCTCAGTATGTGTGGCACAAATAATTAGTATGGATAATGAAAATATGAATGAGACTAAGAATACAATGAAGCTTTGTGGATGGTTTGTTTTAGTTTTAACTTTTCCTTTTCTAATGTATAGAAATATGCATGCTAAAATAGAGCCCTACACAAACCTCCAAAGGCCTGTACTTCCTCACTCACGTTCACATGCATGCATTTTTTTTTGTCCCTCTCTGTAGGGAGAGAATTAGTATATGACATTTACTTCTCAGTACATTCATGGAAAGTGCTCTCATGGTGTGTTGATGAGCATGTGGAAAAACTGCACTGAATAAGGTACCTCTCAGTTTTGCTGAGCGTTCAAAACCTGCTGTTCTTCCGAGGTGTGATGAAATCTTTTTTCTGTGTTTCTCAATCATGTAAGAGATGAAGAAAACATTTAAGCTGCTAGCTTAGATAAAGCTCAAGTAAGAAATTCTTACTTTTCCTTTACTTTGTTTATTAATGAGTCCTGTTGTTTTCTCCCGTTTGTTTTTTGCACCAGTATTAGAGCACTGGTGCAGCCTAGATCTCTGGGCTTCAGGATCTGCTCTGTGCGTGCTGTGCCCGATGATGTGAAGCGCTCCGGGTGCGGGGCGGCTGTAGGAGCTACCCCCGTCGCGGGCGGTTTCTCCTGGGGCAGAACGGCCGCAGGCGTCTGATTCCGAGCCTGTGCTGTTGGGAGATTTTCCCAATGAGTTAATTCACTCATCAGAGTTTTTCCACCTGTCTAAGACTAGAAGGATTAAATACTTCTAGTCCATATGCTGCACACTTTTTTTTTTTTGGGGGGGGTGGGGGAGAGCTGTTCTTTAGTGGGACTTTTTTTGTTTTGTTTTGGGTTTTTGTTTGTTTCTTTCCTTTAGTACAAGTGTTATTCGCCCGTAACGGAGTGCGGTCCCTTCAGCGCTCGTTGTCCCTTTGCCCGGTTATCCTGTCCTTCTCTCTGGAACACGCTCCGCGCACTGCCGGCGGCTCTGAGCT